TCCTTTGCTTGATCCTCTGAAGCTAAACTTTAAAGTTATGATACTAAAGTGGTAGCTGCTCTGGCAAATTTAGCTTCCACTTAACACTATCCTTTCCATCGCCTTCTGAGCTTGTGTACATCTTTCTTTATTGCATCAACATATGCAAGACTGGAGCCAGAGTGTCTGTCAGTTGATAAAAACATCACTTTATTCAAATAATTATTCATTTTTGCTTTTATCCATGGTTTAATAGAAACAAGGATAATTAGGACACATAAAATACAGGACATGAAATTCAGAACAGGGCATGTATTCATTATACCATTATGCTCAAAATTCTAAGGAAACTGGTTTCATAATCATAATGTTCATGACATCCAAAGAAAAACAGTTATTTTATTATTTAGTCTGTACAAATACAGAAAGATGTTAAAATGTATGTTCACCAAAATATTTAAACATTTAAATGTGATTCTTAAGGAAAAGGGAATAATAATAATTATTTTCATTTTTTTTCTTTCTTTAATACTCAGTTTATAGTAGGCAGTGTGCTAAGCACTGTATATTCATTATTCTAAACGACATGAATTTGGTGTTATCCCATTTTACAGATGAGGACACTAATGCTAAGTGAGATTAAGTAAATTGTCTGAGATTTCTTACTTATCAAGCAGAGTAGCCAGAAATAGAACCAGTGAGCTCATCTGGCTCCAAAAGCCCGTAAACCAATATCGCGGCCTAAGGATCAGAATGTGAAGTGCATCTACTGGAAAGTAAATGCTGGGTCAAGTAGTCAGTCACTGGATACTGGGGAAGTAGCTGCTCATGAAGAGTGACTTTCCTCTTTTCATTCTGAACATGGATGGTAGTACTTAAGGAGACTCTTCTTATGGCATCCCTCCAAGGAAATGACCTCGTATCAGTTTTGGCTGAGCTTTACAATGTTTTTAGCCATATACCTAATAAAAGAGTAACATGCTAATTGACTGTACATTCGTGATGCCCACCAGCCAATCACAAGTGAGTATGCAGATTAACCCAACAAAGATGGTGGGTTAATTTGCATAAGCAGGTGCTGAGTGGTCGGGGGTATTCCACACAACCCCAGCCACTTTGGGCCTCTGGGCACTGAGGGAAGGCAGAAAGGCGGCTCCGGTCAGAGCGAAGGTGGTGCCAGTGGCCATGGGAAGGAAAGCCCATTCCTGCATGAATCTTTGTGCATCGGGCCTCTAGTCCTATATAATAAAAGTCTAATATGCTAAGTGACCAGTCATCTGATCATCTGTTTAGCTAATCAAAGCGTAATATGCTAGTGATATGCCAAAGCCACTCAACCATTCGCTACGATGTGCACTACTACCAAGGGGCAGACACTCCAACTGGTAGGTTAGCTTGCTGCTGGGATCCGGCAGATTGGGACTGAATAAGATGGGCTGGAAATGCCCTGGAGCCCTTCTGTAATCCTTCCTTGACTGGCCAACCTCCTGCATCCCTCCCCAGTCCCAGTCATGCACAGGTGGGGTCCCTTGGCCTGGCCTGTGCTCTCTTGCAATCCAGGACCCCTTGGGAGATGTTGGAGAGCTGGTTTCGACCTGATCCCACAGGCATAAAAGGCTAATATGCAGATTGACAGAACAGCAGAATGACCGGTCACTATGATGTGCACTGACCAGTCACTATAATGTCCCTGACCACCAGGGGGCAGACACTCAATGCAGGAGCTCAACTCATGAAGCTGGACTCATGGCTGGTGAGTGCAGTGGTGGAGGCTGGAGTTTTAGACATCCCCTGAGAACTCCCAGATTGCAAGAGGGTGCAGATCAGGCTGAGAGACCCTCAATGATTGCACAGATTTTGTGCACTGGGCCTTAGCACTGCTACAGAGGTGGGAGAGGTTCCTGCCACCACCTCTGTGCTTATCAGCCATGAGCCAGCTTCTAGCTGCGTGGTGCTACCCCTGTCAGAGCACACTGACTCCCAAGGGGCAGCTCCTGCATTGAGCAGCTGCCCCCTGGTGGTCAGTGCACATCATAGTGACTGGTCATTCTGCTATTTGATCAATTTGTATATTACCCTTTTATTATATAGGATGGTGAATTATTTGGCCTCTTTTGTCCTCTCTATACATTTTGCTTTTTGTAGAAATGACAAATAAAATTTGAATAAGACTAAAAAGAAAGTAATGAATATCAAAGAGAACAGTTGTTTTATCCTTCTTTGACATTTAGGCTTGGTAACTCCCTGTCTCTAATATTTGTTGAATGGGTGAGGGAGTGAATGAATTTGGGGAATTAGGTGTGGATTCCTGATATATATATACTGTTCCTGCTTTCAACAATATAGGTAATTAGTTTTAACTTAAAAAATGATTTTTCTAGTCTAATACATAATTTCATTCATTTTAGTGTATTTAGAAAAGTCTCCTGTATATTTTAACCTTTACTTTAAGTGAACAATGTAACAATAGTCATTTAGTCTATAAAGTGAAGTTCCAGAAATTATTCCCTTAGAAATTGAGATCATTATGTAGGAAGAAAACTCTAGAAACACATAAGTGTAGAAAGTATTTAAAGGTAACCCTACAAAGGGAAAGTTTATTAGGTAAGGAAAAGTTTATGATTTGTAATTTCATTTGATTTTTGCCTTTTTTGAAAAACAACAAGGAAGATTTACATATACATAGAAAGAAATTTCTCAGTCTTATGCAAAATTACTTTCTTGAAATTGCTGATCAGTTTTCCTTTTACTTAATCAGGCTGTTGGTACCATTTAAACACAGTATGATGCCAAATGAGTAGGCAGTTACTTATAGTTCAATGATTTCTCTCTTTAACATCTTGAAAGCTGAAAAGAGAGTTATCCACTCGGCATATGTTTGCTCTTGAAATAGTCCAGCAATGGTAGTGATAACATTTTCATTGGTTATTTTTTAAAATAGTTTCTAAGTGGAAACTATTACTGTATGGAAAGAGAACCCTTCTTTTGGAGGACACCTGGGCAATGAAAACTTTCTTTTATCTGGTACCGGACTCCCTCCTTCTTCTCTAGACCAGACCAAGTAAAACTTATTTCATAGTGACTCTCTTTATACATTACTTTCATACTCATTCACCTTGTTCAATGCCCACCTCACCCTAAAGTATTCTTTATCGGTAGAAACTGTATTTACCTTGATAAATATAAACTTTCTATGTGTGCTTTTACTTAAATTATGCTCTTTTTTTAAATTTCATTTTTATTCTACTCTACAGTCTGTAAACCATTTCTGTAAACCATCAGAATTTTCTCTGGACTGATTTGCAATATGTTTTGTGTTTGCTAGCAAATGTGGAACTTTTCGGTCCATGTCCTTTCTCTATGTGATAGAAGATCTAATTACTACCCAGCATGAAAGAGCAGCTGAAATGAAAAAGGCAACAAGACAAGGCACTAGCTTCACTTGGAGCCAGCTATTTCCTTTATGTATGTCTCAGCTAGAGAGCAAAGGGAAATACCATTCATTAAAGTAATTCATATATTAAACATTCTTTTCCTCTCTGGATTTAAACTGAAAGGGGATTCGTTCAAATCTTTATGGAAGCAAGACATTAAACAAATATTTTTAATTTTCTGTAGTATTCATTAAGGTATCCTTAAATTATGTGAAATATTTCCATCATCAGAATTGTTATTGTTCCAACACATTTTCTTGACATTTAAACAGATAAAACCAACAATCTTTACAGAAATGAAATAAAATCAAGTGAACCATTAATCTTTTTTTCATAAGGCTTAGAATTTTACTCAATTTGGAGCTTTTGGATCCTAAATTTGGGGAAAAAAATAACACTAGATAGATCTTTTAAAAAGCATTTGTCATCTTAATATAATAGTTTTGGGGCTTTTTATTTTCTGGAATAAGTTGGGGGATTAACATCACAGGAGCAAAAGATTGATAATATTTTACTTTTTTAAATTACTGTGGTTTGAGTTTTCAGTTATTATATTGTCCAAAATTACAAAGGTAGAAGGCATGTATGGGAGCAGGAGGGGGGATTGATAAGATATGTACACATATAATATCTTAATAAAAAGATGAAAAAAAATACAATGGTATTGGGGGCTGTGGAGAAACACTTTATTAAAAAATGGAAATACACACCCTAGCTGGTTTGGCTTAGTGGATAGAGCATTGGCCTGCAGGGTTTCGGGTTCGATTCTAGTCAAGGGCACATTCCTAGTGTTGCGGGCATAGTCTCCAGTTGCAGGTGTGCAGGAGGCAGCTGATCAATGATTCACTGTCATCATTGATGTTTCTCTCTCTCACTCCCTCTCCCTTCCTCTCTGAAATCAATGGAAATATATTTAAAAAAAAGAAAAAAGAAAAAAAAAGAAATATATATGCCTGTGACCTAGTAATTCCACCTTTAAGAACCTATTCTTGAACATATATGGATAAAAATGTTTCTAGTGATATTATTTGTAATATAAATAGAAAAAAATGCAAAAAAATCATTATTAGGAGAATATTAAGTAAGTTATGATAGCCCTAGCTGATGTGGCTCAATTGGTTGGAGTATCATCTCATACATTGGAAGGTTGTGGGTTCGATTCCCAGTCAGGGCACATGATCAGGTTATGGGTTCGATCCCTGATCGGGTGCGATCCCCAGTTATGGTGCATGTGGGAGGCAACCAATTGATATTCTCTCTCTCTCTCTCTCTCTCTCTCTCTCTCTCTCTCTCTCTCTCTTTCTCTCTCTCTCTTTCTCCATCTTCTTTCCTTTCTTTCTCAAAAAATCAATCAATCAATATATATATATCCATATCCAGATGTACCTCATTCTTTTAAGTAGCTGCTCTTAGGATGAAATACATTTGCATGTACTGACAAGGAATATTCCAGAGCCGAGAGACTGTGTTCTTGAGTGGAAGGCATTGATGGGAGGAGCATATTTTTTATGTCCTGTTTGAATTTTCTTTTCCATGTATATGTGTTAGCTTTCATAATTAAAAAGAAATTTCAATTTTTCCTTTAAGGACTCTGCCCAGGAGAGTGTTATCACTCGAGACATTCATCGGACATTCCCTGCACATGATTACTTTAAGGACACAGGAGGAGATGGCCAGGAATCGCTCTACAAGATCTGCAAGGTAGGGCCCTCAGCCTCAGGTTTTCTAATTGATTTTACAGGCTATCTTCAGGAACCCATCTGAAAGAGTCTGAGATTTCTTTCCGTCTTCCTTTCTTATGTGCACTGTGCATGTTCTCTGCTTTACATGGAAACTTCAGTCCTACCTAGTTCCCGAAGGTATCTTTTTGGCTGCATGTCCAGTGCCAACTGAGGAAGAGGCACAGTATAGTCTCAATTTGGTTCTGCTGCGAACAAAAGGGAACAGAAGGTCCGCTTCAGCCACTGCAATAAATGCTCAGTGGATTGCCCATCACTCTGCCCTTCTGACAAGATAATGTGACAGTTGCTTCAATTTTTTGACAGTAAGCAGGATTAAGAAGTACTGTGGCACCTGTTACTGATATACCCTGTGTTGTCACAGCGTGCGTCTTCATGTGGTTTATATGTTCCATTTTGAAATCTTTCTTCTCACTCATGGGTGGTAGACCTGAAAGAAAACTGTTTTCCTGGAGTTCAGTAAATATGCTTGGGTACAAAATACTCTGTTTCTGTTAGTGGAAAATACTCATTAGAATATTATTCATTCCTCTAGGTCATATCAGAAGTGCAGAATGAAGTTAATTCCTCAAATTGTCAATGCTAAACGAGGCCAAAGACTCAAAATTATGAAAGCATTAAACAAAGTTGCCCCTTTCCTCACACTTAAGTTGCCCTACGATGTGTGATGGGTTTACTCAGCGTTCTTCTCATCTACCATTGCAATAGAGGTTAACCAACAGTGAACTATCCAGAATCTTGTAAAAATATGGAGAAAAAGCAAACACTATTACTAATTTGTAAGTTAGATAATCAGAGTTAGCCTTTTAAGCATCATAGATGAGCCAGTAAGTAATTAGAAGTATACTCACATATCGACATCATTGTATATTTACTGTTTTTTTTAATGGCACTTATAAAAACACTTGCCTGCATATGCTAACCAAGCAGGATTGATATTTAATTGTGCAAAGGGCTCAGCTTTCAGAAAGTCATCCTTGCATGTTTGTGGGTTAGCCCTCCACTCACTCCTGTCTTGTTTAGTCTATATTGTCTTTTTTTTTGTCTTCTGATGGCCTCATTTTTAAGGATTGTAAATATATACACGATCGGAAGTGCATAAATAACTGAAAATCTGAGAATGTACTGATTTCTAGAAAGTGATACAACTTTTAGTTTTAAAAATGTCAAAACCATCCAACACCACAAAAAATGTATAATGTATTTATTATATGCTTGTAATAGGAAAAGGTAATTATTAAAAGTATTTTTGATCTGTTCTGAAATTCTACAGGCTAATTAGATTCTGGCTTGTATAAGGCAGATATCAAAATGTATATAGTTTCTAAGTTTATTTAGAAGGGCTTGGCTTATGGGATATAGAACAACATTTTCCCCTTAGCGTTGAGTATGTTTTCAATCAAACAGTGACTTTTCCCTCAATTTTTCTCTGATTGATGCTCGATATTTTTTTCACATAACTAAACAGATGGCTCCATGTGCTTGCAGCCTCTGTCTTAGTTTTGCTCTATTGTAGTAAAAACAGTATTTGCCTCATTATGTAATATTTAGAGGGAAATATCTGAAACATTACTGAACACAAAGATAAAAGTTAAACAGTTGGTAACACTTGCTTTGGTATTATAGGCTAATAACCTAACCTTGAATTCATTAAAAAAATATTCATTAGTAATTTACTCATGTAGCCATTTTAGATTATCAATATAGATTTGAAACATAGTTTTAAAATTTATGTTTATTGTTGAAATTATTATAGATGTTCCTTTTCCCCCCCATTAACCCCCTCCACTCCTTCCAATTCCCTTCCCCAGACCTTCCCTGCACTATTGTCTGTCCATAACAATTAGACAGTTTTAAAAGCTTTTTTTGAGTAAAGAATATTATAAAAACGTAGCACTAAGATACCTTAATTGCTGACTAAATTGCACTAAATTTTGTGAAAACTGCAGAGAACAAAGAAACCATGTTAAAAACATTTTAAAATTCAAGATAGTAAATATAAATTGCTGAGGGTTGTAATATTGTACTACAATATGAATTACTTAAACATAAGTTTACAACAGCCTTTGATAATGGAGGAGAGCAGAGATGAACATATCAGAAAATGTTTAGGAAATCAAAATTCACTGGAGTCCTACCATATGGAGTCCTACCACTTGGTTTGTCATTGACACAACTCCTCTTCCTTTTGATCTACCATGAATTAGCAGTCAAGTGCTCATTGGTGGTGATAACTCACAAATTGCACAGCATACTTAATAATTTAGGATTAAGTATTAGTCTCAGGTTTGTACATCTTATTTCCTTTGCTTCTTGCATTCAGTTTGAACCATAGTCTTTCATTTTATGACTGCCCCATGTCCCCAAAAGCTATTGTGTGTGACTTTAAAGCCACAGAGTGTGACCTACCTGTCCTATCATTTTAATTTCTAGAATAATATCCAACATTATACTTCACACACTCAGCAGTATACTTTTGAGTTACATTCTGGATACCTTGCACAAAACCAAATCAACATTCATAATACATTGATATAAAATCAGCCATTTTGTTATATAATCTGTAAATAATGATAGTTTTGCTTCTTACCAATTTCTTTTTTTTTTCCTTATTTTTTTTTCTGTCTTACCACACTGGACAGAACCTCTAATATAGTGTTAAAATGAATACATGTCTTACTCCTGATTATAAAGGATCAGCATCTAATGGTTTGTCACTAAGAATGGTGCATCTTATTAAAATGTGCATCTTGTTCACATCAACAACACACAGTATAGACCTTTAAAAAAAAAAAAGTGCCTCCATGTGCCTTATAATAATTTCACATTTACAGAGTGCTTTCACACCTACTACCTCATTTATTTCTGACAACTCCTCACTCGTAAGGCCTATATGAGAGTTACAGTATGCTCTGCTCTTAAATTGAGACAGAAGTTAAGAGAATTTTAATTACAATAAGTGTTGAAACTAACTTTGGTTTCAAGGATACAAGAGTCTGACTTTGTAGTTGAAGTTTTCTGTGGCTCTGGTGAGATGACAAATGACCTGAACTGTCAGGTTAGAGGGAACATAGTTAAAAACCTGCTGTCATGTTTTAATGGCCCTGTCAATTTCAGCTTTTGCCTTTTAGTATCATTTTCACAGTAGGAGGAAATCAAAATGGTTCAAAGATTCTGATGTTGTCATAAATTTATGTGTGGAGTTGAACTGGAGGTAGAATAGTAGAATTCACAGGATTCTGAAAATATGAAGGTTTGGGCTCCCCTTCTTCCCACCCTTCCTCCTTCCTGTCTTTCAATAACATGTTTTAAAATAGTGTCCTTCAAAGGAAGAAAAATGTGATGCCATCCCAGGTGTCTTTAGCACTTTTCTAATTTACATATGATGTGAAAACTGTTTTCTGTTGGGGGGCAGGTTCGTGAAGCTTAAAGGAGTGAGCATCAAGAGATCTGATTCTGGTCTTGATTCTTCCCCTAAGAAGATCTAAGATTTGATCTTCTTTTTTGGACTTGCTCCTCATTGGAGTATGGGTTTTGATAAGATTATTTTATTTCCAATTTGCTCTGATTCTTAATGTTGTTTTCAAAATTTTCCTAAAATGTAACAGATGAATTCCTATGTCAGGTATTCTCTCTCTCAATATTGAAGCTATAAGGGAGTGTGATTTAACTTTGATTTGTGATTTAACCTGGCTTTCTGCTGTTGTGTTTGGTGTGTGTTTCAGGAACACCTGAAATGAAATACATTTAGTGAGTTACTTTTAGATAATTTCTTTTGATGAGAATTCTTTCCTAGGCTTCCTTTTTTCACTCTATTAATGCTATCTTTTGATGAATAGGCTATTAAAAAAAGTGAGACTCACTTTATTAACCATTTATTTTATGGTTAGTGTTTTGGTGTCCTGTTTAAGAAGTATTTGTCTAACCCAAAGTGATGAAAATATTATCTGTAATCTAGACATTTTATTCTTTTGCTTTTTACATTGGGATTATGATTTCTCTATAGTTGGTTTTTGGATGAAGTAGAAGTCAAGGTTCATTACTCCCTGCCCCATATATATCTCTGATTGATCCATCGTGACTTTTAAAAAACCATTCTTTCCCTTACTGTATTGCTATAGCATTTTTTTTTATAAGTCAGATCCATGTATATGTGGTTTTGTATCTGGGCCATTCTTTCTTTTTTGGGGGTGGGGGCAAGAGTTATTATTATTTTTTTTTTTTACTGAACATGTTTGACATAATTACACTCACTGTACATTTAAAGTATACAGTGTTTTAATTTGATAAATTTATGTATTATAATAGGATTGCCATTGTAGCAATATTTTGCATCTCTATCACAATTCATAATTATCCTATCATTTTAGTGGTTGGGATAATTAAGTTTTTGTGTCTTATTAGCAAGTGTCATGATTGTAATAACATATTATTATCTATATTCATTATATTGTGCATTAGCTCTCTATGGCTAATGTGTACTCATTGCAGATTTGTACCCTTCATGAATATCAATCTTAATCTCCCCACCCCACTCCCTGGTAAACACCATTTCACACTTGGTTTTCTACAAGTTTGACTTTTTTTTTTTTTAAGATGCCACATTTAGTTGATATCATATAGTATTTGTCATTTCTCTGTCTGACTTATTTCACTTAGTGTAATGTTCTCAAGCTCCTTCTGTGTTGTCTCAAATGGCAGAATAATTGTGTATATACACCACATTTTGTTATCCATTCATCCATTGATGGGCACTTAGGTTGTTTCTGTATCTTGGCTACTGTGAATAATAGTGCAATAAACATGGGAGTGTATATATCTCTTAAAAATTCTGGGTGTGTTTTTTGTTGTTGTTGTTGTTTTGCTGAACCATTATATTCCATTAATCTATTTATCTTTGCAGCAGTACCACACTATTATAATAATAGTGGCTTTATAATGTTTTATCATCTTGTATTGTCA